AAAAAAAAAAAAGAATAGCACTGAGTTGGCATGAAGTTATAAATTACATGCAAGCAATGCTATTCAGAAGTCAAAGTGGATTATAGATAACAAATAATCTAAAATTGCCTTCTAAAAAATTCCAGACTAAGAAAGAACCCCTGCTGTAATAGCCCAATGGTTGAGAAATTATTGGGGTACAGAGTGTCCCAGATTTGTATTCTGACTTCAGCTTTCACTAACTGTATGACCCGGAGTTACTGACCTCTCTGTGCCTCTGAATCTTTATCTGTCTAATGGTGGTTAATAATAATACCTATCTCAGCAAGTTTCTGTAATTATAGCTGGGTTCATGTGTGCACACACACACAGTCATACATATAAAAAGCTTACATCCTGTAATTGAAACATGCAAAGTGGTAGGACAGTGTCTCATACAAAAGCACTATTAAGTATTTTCTTCCACTCACATTTAGTTTGTATATGTATTTTTTTGGCACTATTTCATTTTTAAGAGAAAAGAAAGCAAAACTTGAAACTCTGTTTTGACACGGTGTACAGCATTCCTGACACAAACTGCCCAGAGTTAGGTCAAAGTTCAAAGTCAAGGGCGTCAGTTCTATAAGTCAGTCACCATCTGCATGCTTGGGCTACCCATTCTTGTGACCAGTTAATTGGCTAACTAGAGGGTTTCTCTCCAGTTCAATACAGTTCAACAAATGCATAAGATTGGAAACAAGTTTTGCATTAAAGTAAGAAGGAAAGCTTCTTTTAAAATACATTTTTTGAAAGATTTATTTATGCATATAGAACTGGGGTACAGGATAGAGGTGCAGGGGCAGTGAGAAAATTCACCAGAGACAGAGTGAGGAGCAGAACAGGCAGAATGAAAAAGGACACTTCTGAGGGGAGCAGCGGGCGGGTCAGGAGAGGTCTGCCACACCATGTAGATCACCTCCGGGGCAGGGCTCGAACTCATGCTAAGTGGCCTTAACTTATTAGTGCTGTGTTTTAACCTGCTTCGCCACCAGGGAGGGCCCTTGCATGTTTGTAAAGGACAAACATTCAATTTGCTACTGTGAAGTTCTGTAGTCTTTTCTTGATCTATTATCCTTTGCTTTTGCTTCTGCTTTTGACTGTTGACCACTTTGTCCTTAAAATCACCTCTCCCCCTGGCCCTCCCTGGTGGCGCAGCGGGTTAAAGCACTGCACTGAGAAACTAAAGCCACTTCCGCATGAGTTCGATCCCCGCCTGCCCCGGAGGTGACCACATGGCGCGGCAGACCTCTCCTGACCCGCCCACTGCTCCCCTCAGCAGTGTACTTCATCGATCAGCCTGTTCTGCTTCCCGCTCTGTCTCTGGTGAATCCTCTCACCCTCCGCATCTCTGGCCTGTACCCCAGTTCTGTATGAATAAATAAATAAATCTTTAAAAAAAAAAAAAAACACCTCTCCCCAGAGACAGCTTGACATAGACAGGACACCTCGGTGTCTCGCCTTGTCCACAGCCACCAGGCGTCAGAAGCCCTGTTCTTCTTTGGCTTCTGACCTACCAGTATGTCTCTCCACATCCAGCCTTCGCCCCCCTTCTGACCACTTCCTTAGAAGTCTCTTCCCTCTCTGAGGCCACATCTCTTGTCTTCCCTATTAAAGTCAGGCCTCTCAGGCCTCCTCTCCCCAAAAGCTTTTTCAAGTTTCACATGAATTATTCACCATGCCAAAACCAAACCTGCATTTCCTTAACCACCTGTCCCTCCCAGCACATTTGTGTATCCATATTGCCCCTACCACCCCCTGCACCCATGCATGCGGCTCTGGCCCTGACTTGCCCTCTGCTTTCATAATCTCCTCTTCCTTTTGTTTCCCCCCCTGATCTGGCTCATGTTATTGGCAGTTCTAGGTCAGAACCTTATTCTAGCAACTGCCACTAGGGTATCATCCTTCCCACCTGCCTTTCTTGTCACCAGCAAGCATAGCTTCCTTTCAATAAGACTTTCACCCTTCCAGAGCTTTCCTGGTTCCACCATGTTGAGGCAAATACTTCAGCTGACTCTAAAATATTGCCCTATCTTGCCCTTGAAGTTTGTGGCCTCTCCATCTCTCATTCCATTGCACCCACCTGGACCCTGCTGTGAGCCCTGTGAACACCTGCTGTTCACTGTGAGCACCCTCTGAAGTGCCACTCAGCCCCTCAGATTATTTGTACATTATTGTTTCATTGTATTTTATCATAGGTGGTGGTTTTTACTTTTATTTGGTTTGTAACCCTTTGCTCATCATGCACCTTTATGGTATGCATCTACTTTGTCTTTCAGGTAGACATAGATAGGAATGGCTCTTTAACATTCTTCAATTGTATTTGAATTAACATCTGGACCACTGAAAAAAAAAGGGGGGGGCTGTAAATTTTACTCTTGAAAAATATCAAATAGGAAGTGTACTCCCAGTCTCCTTTAATTTATAAACAAAGAATCTGAACACCTGAGATGGATCTTTTAAATTAACAATTGTACTTTTAGGTTCATGGAAAATGGTGTCTTACTGTTATTTACATTAAAAGTTTTATTGTTTCTGATCAAAAATGTTAATTTAGAGAAATTTTAAGTACATGAGGATACTCAAAGTAAGAATATATGGCAACAATTGTGAAAGTAACACTGGATATAAGGGTTGAAAACACTGTGATAATTTATGCTAAGATTCATTAGGTTTCATAAATGATTGTTGACTCATTGAATGGTAGTTCACATCTATATGTCTCTCTAGAAAAACAGCCTTTACCCACTACCTAAAAGAGCCAACAAGTAATGTTCACAGCTGCATTATCAACATCAGGCCAAGGGAAGAGAAGAGTAGAAGGTCAACTAATAAAAGTCATTGGGGCAACTGAGGCTTTTGATCATGGAGTGCTGTGTGAATGAGAAGCCCATTCTCTCGTCTGCAGGCACCTCAGCTCTGCAGCTATTGCTGCTGCTCCCAGAAATCCTAGGACAGTCTGACTGGGCAAATGTATAGCACATGAACATAAAATGAGTAAAAGATGTTGAAATTCCCAGAAATATAAAAAAAATTTTAAATAGGAGAAAGAGACTGCACTATTTCACATGCCAATGTGAGACCATCTCCTCCTGTTATTCTGGAAGCTTTTAACAACCACCATCAGTAGCCCCACTTTTCAGTGGTTTTCACCAGCTATGAAGCCTCCATGACCAGACATGCTGGTAAATTCTCTACCGGAGAAGACTATTACCCCAGTGCACAGCAGCTGGAGGTCTGCTTAGGGAACACCCCCACAGTCAGAATTTAAAATGAAAAGAACTCGATGGAGGGAGATGGGAAGGATGGTGACACGGTGTACAGCATTCCTGACACAAACTGCCCAGAGTTAGGTCAAAGTTCAAAGTCAAGGGTATCAGTTCTATAAGTCAGTCACCATCTGCATGCTTGGGCTACCCATTCTTGTGACCAGTTAATTGGCTAACTAGAGGGTTTCTCACCA